GTTGAACAAAGTATACAAGGATATCTGCAATCGTTGTCCTATACAAGCTTAAAGCTACTCATGGTATATCTGACAACGATTTCAACAAACTTCTTGATATTATCTGAGATGTGCTTCCATATGAGAACACCCTTCCTGATTCTTGTAATTCAACGAAAAGGTTATTGAACACCTTTGATTTGGGGTATAAGAAGATATATGCATGCGTAAATGATTGTTGCTTGTTTAGAAAGGATCTAGTGAATTTGGAGACATATCCAAAATGTGTATCTTCGCGGTGGAAAGTTAATGAACGGATAACAAGATTCAAAAAGGAATATCTGCAAAGGTTCTGCGATATTTTTTTATTATACCACGATTTAGAAGAATGTTTAGATCACTTGATAAGGCTGAATGTTTAGATCACTTGATAAGGCTGAACAACTAGTATGACACTCAAATCACAAAAGTCAAGATGCTAAAATGTGTCAACCAATTGATTCATTAGCTGAGGGGAGAATTGATAAAAAAAAAAATGGCCTTGTTTTGCATTAGAACCGCGAAATCTTAGGCTTAGTCTCTCTTCTAATGGATTTAATCCCTTTGGTGACCTAAGTTCTAGGTATAGTTGTTGGCCAGTGATACTAGTTATATACAATCTCCCTCCTTGGATATGCATGTCAAAGGAAAATTTGTTGTTGACTTTATTAATCCTAGGTCCAAAAAAACTTGGAAATGATATAGATTTGTATCTAGAACCACTAATAGAAGACTTAAAAGAGATGTGGAATATTGTTGTTGAAGCATATGATGGATTTACTAAGTCCACCTTCAATTTGAAGGCTGTGCTCATATGGACAATTAATGTTTTTTCGGTTTATGGAAACTTATTAGGATATCCTATGAAAGGCGAAGCAGCATGTCCAGTATGTGGTTTATTTACATGTGCAAAATGGTTGACATGTAGTCAAAAGTTTTCATACATGGGTCATAGAAGATTTCTTGCATATAATTGTCCTTATTGATTTAAAGAAGCTTGGTTTCATGGAAACAAGGAGTATAAGCCTAGTCCTAAAATATTAACCGATCGAGAAGTGATGTCTTTAATCAAGAATGTTAGCAATAATTGGGGAAAGTAGGGAAAAAAAAGAAAGAAAAGAAAGATGAAAAAATCATATTCTAATTGGCCATGGAGAAAAAACGTCAATATTATTTTAGGTTAGTCATATTGGGAGGTTAGTCATTTTAAAGTATATGATGTAATGCACTTTGAGAAGAATGTTTGCGAAAGCATTATTGGCACTATTTTGCATATGAAGGGAAAATTAAAAGATGGGCTAAATTCTCGTAAATATTTACTCAATATGTGCATTAGAAAGGATCTTCATCCAGAATTAAAAGAAAATACATATTACCAGCAGCATCATATATGCTATCCAAAAAAGAGAAAGGGTTATTTTGTAAAAGGCTATTTGATTTAAGATCACCTGATGGGTATAGCACTAACATTTCAAAGTCTGTATCATTAGCGGATAATAGGATTTTAATTCTAAAGTCTCATGATTGCCATGTGCTCATACAACAATAATCTTCCTTTTTCTCCTTGGTTTGACTCCAAGAAACTCGAGTGATTTATTTTTCAATGAGAAGACATGTGCTTTGCCTCCCAAGAATTTTGATGTGTTATGAATGGAATCCCCCATTATCTAGAATTGCTCTTTACCTAGTTCTTCATTGCCTTGAAAATTGTGCATAGTAGGATAATTAAGTTGCCCTTAATTTTAATTTGAAAACACCAAATACTAGTCTAACTCGATATTAGATGAGGTCACATAAAACCCACATGCCACCTCCAACAATTTATTTTGCCTAGACATTCTCTAAATGAGGTAACATGTCCCATGCATGAAACTTGAAGCCCCTTTTTTTTCTTTTTTTTTTCCATTTTTTTTTTTTTTGGGTATTTTATTCTCAAAGTTTTGGTCCCTTAAATTTGATTTTTATCAATTTAGGTCATTCTTTCATGTATGTTCATAATGTCCTCGAACTTTCAACTTCATCTAATATAGTCCTTCAATTATTGATATTTCTACTTCAATCATTCAAGTTCTGAAAAGTTCAATATAGTCCGAATGTTTTGATTTCATCCATTTTGGTCCCCCAAATTCTTCAAATGCAAAATTTGGCCTCCAAAACTTATAAAGTCGTCCAATTAACTCTACAATGAATCAAATCAAGTCCCCCAGTTTCCCAACACCAATGCAAATCCATCCTTTTGCCTTGGTTAAACTTCAAATCTTTTTATTTCTGCTCAATTCCTCTCCAAGTCAAGTTTTTCCCCCCTAAAAATACAATTTCTGCACAAATATAATTAAAATTATGCCCAATTAATTAAAGAAAATTAAGAACCTAAATAAGCATGTAAAATATATTTATCAAAGGACAATAACTATTTGTTCCAATTTTTCACCATTAAGACAATAAAAACAGTTCGGATAAGAAAAAAAATTATCATGAAAAAGAATAAACAACTTATAAATTTGTGCATGCAATAGATATTCCATGTAAATTTTTAGATGTAAACCATGCGTTTTGATACATCGTATATCTTGAACGAGCCCAAACCATCTTTCCTCATCAACACAACAACTTTAGGAATCAAGCCACAATACTATTATACAATAAACAAGCATTTGGTAGCCAAACTTGCATCAAATTGTTGCAAGTAGCCAATAGTCTCATAAACTTCAAACTACCTATAGTGTAGCCTACAAGTCGTGGCAATCCCAAGATCAATTTCTTAGTTATTGGATTTAACCATAGTTTATTACATTTTTTAATTATTAAGCATGTGAATTAAATGCCTATAATCACTTGTAACAATATAAGTTGGGTATTTGCTTTGAGAAGTACAGTGTGACATAATTTATATTTTGATCATAAATAAATTGTTCACAATAAATGTAACAAGGGTGGGCACATTCTAACGTTGTAGTGTTGATCGATTCACTATTCAAGTTTGTGATTTGTTCCTATCATAGAAATAGGTAAAGTTGACACAGTATCGAATCACATGTCAAATAATTCTATAGCATGACCCTACGAAGAATTAAATTTCTCTTGATAGTTGTGCATTCAACATAAATTCCTTCACAAGGTTATGTATATTTTTCATGATTTTAATGGTTTCTAAATTCATTAATGGGTAAGATTAATTTGATTAGTTAAATATCTGGATGAGTTGGGAGTTTGAGAATTAGTGAAGTAGAGAACATGATTTCGTGTCGGGAACCATTGCCCTAAAAACATGGGTAAAATGACCACTTAAGTACTTTCTGTTGAATGGTCAAAACTTGAGCTCAATGTTTAGCAACGATAAATTTCAACATCTATGATTAGTTCATTGGACTGTTGAAGAAAATTGTACTTAAATTCGTGAGAATAATTAGAAGGGCAAAACAATCATTTATACTCATACCTAACTATTGAATTTCGAATGGGAATAAAATACGTATATGACAGGTTAGAGGAAGCATTACAGATTTATTGGCTTCTGTGATCGTATATATTTCCAAAGTTTAGTCTTTTGCCTTTAGTACAAGACAAAGACTAATAATTAAATTGGGTGATCTATGGTCGACTAGAAAAGATATAATTATTGGAGGTTGGATAGTATATGGTCGACCAGGGCTCTATAGTGGCTTTGTAAAGTATTGAAATTTAATTACGGTAATTATAATAGTTTTGGGTTTATTGTAATTACAATAAAGTTTTGTACGTAGTTGTAATTACTTTGAAATTTGTAAATTTAATTATAATTATATTTGAAGTTTTATGATTACACGTGTAATTAAATGTAAACTAATTGAATTTGGACTTTAATTAAAAATCCTATTTGAATTTTAATTAGAACTCTTATTTGAATGTGGAACCTAGACATCCTATATGATTGAATAGATAACCTACAACAATCATAATATATAATGTTATAGCGTTCAAATTTGGATATAGAAAAAGAGAGAAAATAACTATTTTCTCATTTTATTCAATTGTCCAGTTTAAGAATTAGTTTCTTAATTTAATTTAAAAAATGTGCCCAGTTACCGGTACAGTCTTGACTTTAGAAACTACCATAGAAGATTTGGAGGTTCGAAGCATCAAGTCCTTGGAATTAGAAGCTGGTAGCTCGTGATCCAAAAAATTAAAAGTTCGTGATTCAGAATTAATTCAAAAATTGATCATCGAATTTTGGTAACGATTCGAATCCTTTATTCTTGGTACTAACATACACATGAACATTTATACGATCTTATTTATTAAATTAAAGAATTTTTTTCATTTCTAAATAATTTCACTTTCGCATTCCAATCTATGATTGCAGAGGTGACGCCTATGAGGCTGACACAACGAGCTCCGAGATGAGGCCTCTTGTTATTCATCCAACGATAATCACCTCGTCTCTATAATAAAAATTTACACTTTTACAGGTAATACAACACAACGAGCTCCGAGATGAGGCCTCTTGTTATTCATCCAACGATAATCACCTCGTCTCTATAATAAAAATTTACACTTTTACAGGTAATACAATTTTACAATCTCAATAGTAATCTTGCATAATATTTTCTTTTGAACTTGATATCATAAATATCGTTGTGGTCGATGTCCATTGTTCATTCCGCTCAAATACACATCTATAATTGCCTAACTTGATCGAGGAAGTGCTTGAGGATATATCCCCACCACTAGAGAAGGCCTTGTGCATCTTACGATTTGTCCCAAGTATGTAGGAACCTTACATGTGGATGTGACTAGAGCTGAGATGTATTGGCAACGTTTTCTAACCAAAAACCAAGGTCAACTTGCCTATTATTTTTTAGACAATTGTTAATATATATTAATAATCTTCTATGTAAGCATTGTAGACGAGTCCCAAATTCAACCTAAAAGTTTAGTTGCCTTATTACTATTACTTTTTCGAAAACACCAATATAATTTATACTGAAATTGATAAGAAAACATTAATGGAAAATCTGCATCAACTTGTAAATTAATTTCCATCCATACATACATCGAGAAAATAACCTAAAAAAAAGATAGAATTTGAATAATATTTCACAGGCATGACCGAAAATATTAAGGAGAAAAATAAAGAAAACTTGTTCCATTTTCTTAATTAGCCATTGGAATCCATTGTTCAGCTCCCTTATCTCTCTAGGCAGCATTCTGCAGAACATCACCGACAGTTTGTACAATTTCATTCACTGTCAAACTGGATTCTTTCTCCTTCTGAAAGGAATTTCAGAAAACAAATACAGGTTCAGCTAAAAAAATTACAGAAATAAAGCAAGGACTTATAGAACATACTAATTTTGTTAAACGCAGCAAAAAAGTTTAACCTACATAAGACGAGAGATATTCATATATACACATCTTCAATGCGGAGTCTCATGCAGGGGTGAATTCAAGGGTCGAGTTAAATTAGGACGGACTGTGAGCGTTGAAAGCTTACTATCGACGGTCAATGTTTGTGATAGCAGGAATATTAATTAATATTTAATTAAATAATATTCAAAAAATTGTACAGATTAAAACTAGAAGAACTACATACACCACTAGAACTAGAACAATGTACGAACTTTCATTTTGGATGAAAAAAATCGTTCCATAATCTGTAAAATGCCTAATTTATTTTTCAATTAAATAGGCAATATATATTAACAAAATGTCAATATTTAGTTTACAATTAAAGTTAATTAAACTAGCATTATTATATTAACAAAATTGAAATTATTTATGTGCTTATATCAATTTTATGTGCTTGTATGATTCCATTTTTTTGCAATCGATTTATTGTGAGCAAAAAGTGAAACCTTTTATTAGTTAAATAAGTTTTTTTTTTTAAAGATTCCTTATGACACTAAGGCCAATTTTCTTACAAATTCATCCACCATTAATTGACCAAACTTTCAAATCAATTTATTAGAGGGAAAAAGACAAAAGGAAAAAAAATCAAGAAAAGAGACAAAGCACCAATTAAAATGTTTCTACTTGTATTAAACTAGTAAAATTGAACATATATTATTTTGTTACATTATGTACAAAAAATTAATAAGTGTCATGATGATAAAGTGATCAATATGTTTAAGAAAGATAGTAAGTTCGAATCACCTTCCTTGCATTTTTTTTTTTAGTAAAATTTGTTGAAATACATAAATTATAAAAAAATATTGCTTTTGGAGAATTTAGAATACAGGACGTCCAATTTCAATAGTGAAAGCTAACCAACTGAGCTCCAGCAAAAAAATAAAAATAAATAAATGAAATAAAATTCTCCTCGATGAATTCAGTCAGGGCGGCCGACCTTACTGGCCACCACCTAAATCGGTCCCTGGTCTCATGTGTATTCAAATTCTGCATGGAATGATCTTATTTAAAGGCTAGACTATTATATAACTTTTAATTGAGGTTATGATATACGAATTTCTGAGTGACTCCTAGTACCATACTAAACCAACTCATTAAAAAATTTAACTGATTAAAGAGATGAAATGTTTATTCATTAAATTAATATATATCTTCTCGAAAGTCTAGCAAATGTAAAATTTTATTAGGAGACCTGAACTTAAGCCCTTTGCCCACCCTAATATCTTATTGAACAACTTGGTAAAAAAAAAAAAATTATAATTAATATACTTAAGTGGATGTTTGATTAACGAGTGAAGGGATATTAATTACCTCTGCTGTAATATTAATATCAAGGGATAAACTTCCAAAAGCCACCACACAGGCGTTAACAACACCCAAATTAAGCTTCTCCATCTCACCAATTATTTTCACCAAAATCCCTTTACTTTTCTTACAATGGATTCTGAGAAGAACATTCTTGCCATACTCTCTAGCTTTGATTGCCGGCGGTTGCTGCAGCTCAGTCGATGACGATCCGTTGTCGTCCACCACCACCTGTGAATTCTTGGTAACTATCTCAGCCTTTCTTGTTTGTTCCTCAAGTATCTTCACTCGTTCTTGAAGGTATTTCATATACGTAATAGCTTTTTCCAGAACATAAATTTCCTTATCCATCTGCAAGTACAGAAAATTGAGAACAATTTTGTCTGTTGAGAACAGGCACAGGTTATAATGAAATATATAGCTAAAAATATTATACTGACAAATGGAAAACTTTAATGGTATACGTACACAGTATGCCCTGTAGCTCAGGCTAATAAGAAAAATATTGTGGCAGAAACTGTTTTCATGTTAGCGCGTGGAACTGAGCCTATTTCTTTATTCATATTTAGTGTCGTATGATTGCAGTAAGTGTAACGAAAAGAATTTGTCGTTTTCAAAAATGTACAAAAGACTAGTACGTGACGGTAGGGTAGGGAAGTCGAAGTGTCGTGAAACATTAATTTGACGGTTATAATTTGTTTATGGTACTATTGCCGTATATTCTGACTCTTCTTTTAACTTAGGTTCTTCATTTATTTCCAATTTTCCATTGATAAGGAATGTTACACAATCATCATAGAAAAAAGGGGGTGTCTTCTTGCATATCCTCTGCCAGCTAGTTGATAACTTTCAATATGTTTATTATCAAGCTGGAATGATTATTCACAACCAGCCTCTTCTTGTGCATGAGGATGAGTTGTACTTAGTTAAGTTTGATATTTATCTTAGTGTGTGATTGATTCAGAACAAATGGCAAAATGGATTGAGAAACAATTGCACCGAAAAGTAAAAATAGTAAATTGCAGATTTTGACATTCAAGTTCTGATTAGTCATTTAGTTTATTTCGAATTCTTTACAATTTTAGTTCCTTTAAGTTAGGTTTTCGTTTAAACATTTATAAATGAAGGGTTAATTCTTTGTTTTTAGGCATTTTGGAATTAATAAAATTTCTTGATTTTATCTTTCATTTTCTAGTGGATTCTAAATTTGTTTTTTTAAGGTTTTTGCTTAAATTCTTCGTTTCACGCTACGTCGATAAGACACTTAAAGTCTCTTCTTCAATATCTATATCTTTGCCTTGTTTACGAGTATCTATTTCATTAGTAGCTTTGTTAAACATGGAATTAAGTCCAGATTAAATACTATATCATTGTTAATTATCACTTTAAAGTCCTTTGATTCTTCTCCACACAATCCATGCCATTGACCTTGTTTATTGTAACAAGAGTTGTCCGAATGATTTTACCCTTCCGGATTGTAGGTGTAAGAGTAGGGGAAACTTCAGTGCCTAATGGTTTCGATAACTCTTCCAAGAGTAACTCATCCTCGTTAACAATCGTCGGAGGAAAAATAATCTCACGCCCAAGTCATGCTCATCAATTTTGTACCATGACTTATCCCCGTCGTTGTTATTGTCATTTTCTTGCTTTTTATTTGTACCCCAATAAAAAATGGAAACCAAAAATAAGTAGATCAAATAAAAAAGAAAAAGAAAATAAGGTAAGTTAAATAAAAAGTAAATAAAATAGTTCTCGACAAAGGCGTAAAAAACTTGTTAATTTTATCGCACAAGTGAATAGATCATAATCTAGTAATAAATAGAGTGGCGAGCACTCCAGGACTAATTATTACTTATTTTAAGTTAATTAAATCAAGTTCTAATTTGAGACACAAACAATTAAAACTGAGTAACAAATCTTGAAGTTTAATTAAATCACGATAGGAACTAGCATCAAAATCCACCCCATTCTTAGCCTACTTTAATCCCAAATCTCCTCAGGAACTATGTTGACGATCGATATTTCATATTTGCTAGTTTTTCTCTCTCAATATAAATTAATCCAATTTTTATCAACAATATAACTATATCACTATGAAGGTTACGAATAAGTCACAAAAGATTGTATTAGGCATAAAAGTATTATCTAACCTCTATAAGACGCATCACTAATTATTCTCGAGTTCTTGTTTATACGGAATCTCATGAAGATAATATAAATCACAAACACGTTCCTAATGATAATCAGACATCAAAACAAAGTAAAGGAACAACGTAAACAATTACAAGAATTTAAAGTAAAATGAGAAACCAATTAATTCAAAGAATCAAGAAAGCTTCATAATTATCCTAACCTCAATAAATTTAGCCAAACAAAATTAAGTAGTAAACCACATATTTGGATATGAATAAACCACCGGAATTTCAAAATGATTGAAGAAGTGAATATAAATCATCATTTCTTGAAACACTTCAATGGATTTTGAATAATCTAACTTTTTCTCCTTGGTTTGACTCCAAGAAACCCCGATGATTTATTCTTCAATAAGAGGACATGTGCTTTGCCTCCCAAAAATTTGTGTCCTCTCCAAGAATTTTGATGTGTTAGGAATGGAATCCCCCAGTTTCTTGACATAGAATTGCTCTTTACTTAATTCTTTATTGGCTTTAAAACTGAGAATGGTAGAATATCTAGGTTGTCCTTAATTTTAAATTGAAAATACCAAATATAGGTCTGACTCGATATTAGTTGTGGTCACATGCTACCTACATGCCATCTCCAACAATTTATTTTGCCTAGACTTTAAATGAGATAGCATGTCGCACGCATGAAACTTGAAGCCCTCATTTTTCGGTTTTGTGTGTGTGTGTATTTTTAGTTCTCAAAGTTTTGGTCCCTCAATTTAATTTTTTTGTCAATTTAGGTCATTCTTTCATGTATGTCCGCATTGTCCTTGAACTTTCGACTTCATCTAATATAGTCTTTCAATTTTTGATATCTTCAACATCAATCATTCAAGTTCTTGAAAGTTCAATTTAGTCCCCAAGTTTTGATTTCATCCATCTTGATCTCCAAACTCTTCAAATGCAAAATTTGGTCTCTAAAACTTATGAAGTCATCCAATTAACTCTCCAACGAATCAAATCAGGTCCCCCAGTTCCCCAATAATGATGCAAATCCATCCTTTTGCCTCAATTAAACTCCAAGTCTTTTCATTTTTGCTTAATTCCTCTTCAAGTCAAGATTTTTTTCCTAAAAACACAATTCTGCAGAATTAATTAGTATACAAATTTAAAAACCTAAATTAGCGTGTAAAATATACTTATCAAAAGACAATAACTATTTGTTCAAATTTGTCACTATTAAGACAATAAGAGTGGTTCAGATAAGAAAAAAAAGTTATCTAAGGAAAAGAAGAAACAACTTATAAATTTTATGCCTGCAGTAGATATTCCACGTAATTTTCTGGATGTAAACCATACGTTCTGATATATTACCTTCTTTCCTCCCACTTCAAACATTGTTGTGGTGTAGCTAAGAACGTTCTTAGAGACTATGAAAACCAAAAGAATCCAAATTTACTGTATCCTCATAGACCGAATACCGCAATAGGGTTTTGATACCACCGATGGGTTGAGCTCAGAAAGTAAACACTCAGACTTGCACTAATAGATAGTACACTAAAGAATCAAACACAGAAAATTGTCAAATAGTTCAATCAAACTAACCTACTCTGTAAGGTCCAGTTCCATCAACACAACAAATTTAGGAATCCAGCCACAATACTATCATACAATATAGAAGCACTTGGTAGCCTATCAAACTGTTGCAAGACACCAATAGTTTCATAAACTTCAAACTACCCATAGTGTAGCCTACAAGTCGTGGGAATCTCAAGATCGATTTCTTAGTTGTTGGATTTAAGCATAGTTTATAAAAAAGATTGCAAGAAGAAGGTGAGTAACGAATTGTTGAGCTTGACTCAAAAATATAAATGATAAACATAACATAAATTAAAAATACACATATGGAATATTTGATTTGGGACTCATGGATAGATAAGGATTGATCGCTGAAGGGATTCTTGTGATAATAGGGAAAAAGTAATCCTTACTAATTTAATTAAGTTATCAATTCTTATATTTATAAATGTTAATCACGTATAATAAATCTTGCAATACTGAATTCGGTCACCAAAAGGAGAGGGATATCTCAATCATATAGACAAGATGTGTTTGTGAGAAGAAAGTGGAACTGTGCAATAATAGATATCTCGCTAAACCATGCAATAATAGATACGGTTGGGTTACCATATAATATATTTTTTCTATGATAAAATAACAATTTATAATAAATAAATTGTGATTTTATTTATTTATTATTGAGCATACGAATTAAAGTGCCTATAATCACTTGTGATAATATAAGTTGAGTACTTGCATTGAGAAGTAAAGTGTAACACAACTTATATTTTGATCATAAACAATTTGTTCACAACCAGTGTATAAGGGTTGACACCTTCTACCAGAAGGTTGTAATGTTGATCGATTCACCATTCAAGTTCGTGATTTGTCCATCATAGAAGTAATTAAAGGTGACATTTAGCAGGGACGGAGCTAGGATTATTATTCAGTGTGGGCAAAAAAAATTTGATGTGTCCGTATCCTTTACATTCTCTAACAATTCTCTTTCTATTGTTATCTTTACGACAAACATAGCCGTGATTGCTTTGATTATCTACTTTTATAGAGCCATGATTTTGTCTAGCAATATCATGTCACTTCCCTCAGAGATAAAATTTTATGAAATTTGTCACATGGTATAATTTTTTGTTATTGAACTTTTTTATTACATCTACGACTTTTAGATTTTCTATCGTGATTTGATTACCTCTTTGTAATCAAACAAGCTTTATAGAAACTTTAGAATTTTCCTTTGTACACGAACTCCAAAAGCTCAAAAATTCGTCTATGATTGCAACTCTCTAATATCAAATTGTTAAATTTAAATATTAAAGAAACAATTAAATTGATGAAAATTTATGTAGTATTTTGTTACAAAACACACCCTTTCTCGTCAAATATCAATTCACGCCACCTCAGTTGACTTTTATCATTGGGTAGATCACTCATCAAAAGCAATGTTCAGAGACCAAAAATCACCCTCGTGAACATCTAATCAATTTTTTCAATTACCAAATGGGGGTAAAACGGGTGATTTATTTATTTATTTCAGAAAAATAGTATTCATCGAGAAATTTTGAAAAGAGACAACCTTTTATGATTTCTACAGGGAGAAAGAAGAAAAAGGAGTGAAAATGACATCCTACCGTCTCTCAAATTTCTTAATTGATTACATCAGTGTGTATATATATATGTCCTCAACAACACTTAACCACTTTGCTGCAAATTCAGTCTCTCTCTCTCTCTCTCTCTCTCTCTCTCTCTCTATCACAACACTCAACCCACTGTCTCTCACTTTCTCTGTTTCTCTTCTCATTCTATCAACTCTCTGCAACCAGCTTCTCTCACACTCCATATATATACACATTGTA